GGCTGGGATAGCCAAATGGACACAGTACTCATCACCTCCCAGGAGAGAAATGCCTTGGACTTCAGCTGCTTCGGCAAAGGTGGGAGCAGGGCAGCTGTTTCTGTGCTGCAGGAGGCTGCCAAAGACAGTCAACCTGACACCAGTAGGTGGAAGCCACTGGATCAGAACAGATCTTGTGCCTGTGATGCTGCCTGTGACGTGAAAAGCAAAGACTCTGAGAAAGATGCAGGAGCCAGCACTGCTCACGCTCAAGATGTGCTGGTGGAAATAAGTGACTGCTCCAGGACTCCTGATCTAGAACTGAGGAGGGACTCCCAGAGCTCCTCTGACTTCGAAATTCCCTCAACTCCCGATGCCGAAGTGCCTCAGCCAGAAAAACTGCACTGTTTATATAAGAAGCTAGCAGCAGGGGAAAACATACTCAATGAGAGAAAAGTCTCCTGAAGACGGGTATAACTGATTACATCATGATAATAAGTACCAAAATTTGTTCATTAAACCCCAAATTACTTTTCTTTTTAGTGCTGGTTACTATCTGCATCGATGCTAATTGAGACAATTTTTCAGAAATGTCTTACTGTCGTAAATAGACTTTTGCAGCCAGTGTAACTTTATTGTTCCCTCTGTCACATCCTGGAAAGGAAGTGCTCCTAGAAAGGGCTGCAAAAACCTTCTGAGGTTCCATTCTCCGGGACTGCAAGTAGACAAAAAATGGACCAGACAAATCTGAGGGTAGAACATGAAATGAAATTTAGTGTTTCTTTTTATCATGAGCTCTAAGAGTTTGCCTTCGATATATATGTGGTCTCGGGTTTTAATAAAATACCACATTTTTATAACTGTATGGAGGAACACAGTGTCTTTCAGGAACAACCCTGTAAACAATGCAACAGTTTCACTTCGACTTTAATCTCGAGTTTTCACTGCAGTTATTTAAAAAAAAAAAACAGCATTGACAAAAATTGTTCTTTTCAAGCAGTCTCTCTCCACGGAGCAAGTGCTGTCATCTGGTTTTCACTCCTGAATGAGGGGTTACACCCCACGGTATATGGTTTAAATCTGACTCATGCAAACAACTTGTTATCGGTTCCTCCGTGTTGTGGTTTGTTCTGAAATTGCTTTTCAGAATGACTTAGACACAAAATCCTGTTGCATGAGGTTCCAAAGGCACCAGCTAACCCACCTGTTATCCTGCACAGGCTCCTCTGTTACTCGAGGCTCTCGCGTGACCAAATTTCACCTCCTCTTCAACATTCTGTTGACTTCGCCGCGTTCAGACACGCTTAGATTTCTTTTTTAAATCAAGACAAGAGATTCTCCATGGACACATGCCATCATAACTAACTCTTTGCCAAAATTCTTAGCTTCTCAAATGGGAATGTAATTCAGCTTTTTGTTAAACTGCAGTGCCTACAAAACTGGTAAACAGCAGAAGTCATCTAAAAATCTATGAGGTTGCCCATCTGTGTGGTCTCAAGTCCCAGAGAATTAAACGGGCTTTTGTACGACAGCTCTCCCCTCTCTGGGATCGTTAGCAATACGTGACCGTTAAACCAGCTGGCATTCTGCTCTTGGGAACACTGGCAGGAGGGGACAAAAAAAATAAAATAAAAGGAAAATTGCTATCACCTATGTATGGTTTTAAGGAGATTCAAGTCCGTGCGTTTCTCTGCTGTCAGCCTGCCCACTCCATTCCTGGGAGTTGTTAACGTAATTTCCAAACATCATCTATCACCTCTTTGAAACCGCTGCTGTAGCTACCTCTGTGAATAAAGCCAAACAGAACAGGATTTTTCTGGTGGCTCCTTTCCTTAACTGCACCCTGCTGTCAGTTCAGGGCTGCGCTCACAGCGTGCCTAAATATACAGGAACCCAGTCTGCTGTAGAGAAGCCCACAGTATAAATTTATACCAGTTTCAGCCATAAACTGAATGGGAAACACGTGACTTCCTCATGATGGCTCCACAACAGTCCTCACAGTGCTAGAAATTAGGAATTAAGAGGTTGCAGTCTTAAAGCAAGTTGTTCTACTGCTCCAACTACAGCTAACTTTGAGAGGCTAAGACTATATTTTTAAGAATGACAACAACAAGAGAAAAACTAAATTTAATTTATTTTATCAAAAACTATAGAAGATAGCAATACTAGAGATCACACATTATGAAAAGAAAATGTTCCTGAGCTTACAAACTGCATATTCTAATGTACACAGTCCTAAAACATACATTAGAAATAACCAAAAGATTGACTTGACTTTGAGATTAAATAAATAGACAATAGCTCTTCTTACAGGTGATCTTGCAGCTTTAGTTTTGCTATCAAAAAAAAAAAATTAAACCCAACAAAAAAGAACAGCTAGAGGAGAGATCACAGGTTACCAGTCTCTGTGAAGTGCATACACACAACTGAACTGGTGGCCATGATGATGCCAACAGACCACAAAGCAAAACAAAGGCAGCAGCGAGGCTGGTTTAGGCTCCTTGAGAAATTAAAAATAGCTTTTTCTCCTTTTCCAATTTGGCAATTTGGAAGCTCATGAAAACAGCAAAAGGAGTTCTGAAAGTGACACAGTGTCCCGTTAAGCTCATTCACTGACTGCAATGCAAATGCACTGTGAATATGCAAATATAAAATACTGTTCGAGGCTCTAAACTGGATCGATGGGTTTAATTTAAATAAATACAAAATACTGTGACCTCCCAGAACATAAGTTAACGGTCCTTTATTTGTTGCACAAGAGGTAACACACACATCCTTAAAGAACAGCAGTGTTATTCCAATGCTGGTGGTCACATGTACTGCCCCAGGAAAAAGGCAGACACTGAACTCCAGTACAACTTCTAAGACTTTTATCTTTTAAAATGCATTTTCTTCCAATATTTAAATCCAACTGGGCATGGACACAGATAGACAAAGAAAGTGTCAAACACCCCTGGGTCACCTTGCACAGGAGAGGCCGGAGAAACTGATTTGGGAAGGAATCCGTTTCTTGCCACGGCCACTCTCGCCACGCTGTACTGGTACAAGGCTGCAGGCTGCAGCGGGTTAAGGAGCTGGAGAGTGCAGATTCCATCCATGTGGAATGCATCGCTGAATCGGGCTACACGCAAGAGAAAGCGCTAATGACTCCAAATGATGTAAGATCATCTAGAGTTTGCCAAATTAAAGCTCCATATACCACTTCCTATTAAAAAAAAAAAATCAGGAGATGTGACGTGATAAAAACTGACTAGATTCAGCGTTTATTCAAGTGCGTGGGCACAGGTGAGCCTGGTAATGCCAAATACTTTCTTTTAAAATCTAGGTGAGCTTTTTCCTATCCGTTACATAATATAAAGTATCTACTTCAATGTGCATCTCTTTGTATTGTAGATTACGAAACTCACACAGCACTTTCCGTGGCCCACACTTGCCCCCAGCCAGGAAACTTTTTGGCTAGTAGCACATAAAATTCCACTTTCTGCCAAAGAGCCAGATCTTCGGTGCGAACGCAACCGTGCTTCTTAATGAACAACCTGTGTCACCCTCTGAAACACTCTTCTTGGAGTGCGAGTGATTCACGTGAAATTTAAGGCATTTTCTAACAAATTAAGGGAACAGTTACGTGCTGGGTAATCAACTTCATGCACCTGAGCCACCAGCTGGGCACCTTATAAAGGTAACTAGCTGACTATGATACATAGCTAGCATCCATTTATGAAGCATCCATTTACGGAGCCACATTCTTCTGCCTGACCCTACCAACATTTACATGATTTGCAAGCGATTTGCAAGCTTTACAAGCTTTTAATCCGCAAGAACAAAGCACTCAGATCATCCCTGGAGCACGGACCTTGGCTGTAACTTCGCTCGTAACCCACCTCAACTGCTCTTCAGCGTTTCTGAAGCCAAGCAACACTTAGCATACATTACAAACAGGTCGAGACAACTTCAAGATGATCGGGGAAAAAGAAAAAAAAATAAAATTAAGACGACTCAAGCGGCTGAAGAACAGTACATTTCTCAGCCTTTACATTCAAGAATATCTTACAAATGTCTACAGCAAATGGGTAAACTCCCCCCTAGTCTAACTTCACTGAAGTTAACATTTTTGCAACAAGAAAGAACAGGCCTAGTATCTTCAAAGTCTGTCACTAGATAAAAAAAGTCACAGTATGTAAAAACGTAATCAAAACCAGTTGTGAATACAGATCAACTCCCAGGGTATTTTTGCACCTAACAGTAACTGAGCGTATTTCCATAGTGCATCAACTTTGTTAGACAACGGGCTGCTCTCCCTGTTCTTTTGTTATCTATTTCCAAACTGTAGCCAGTAATTTGTTTCGGCAAGGACTGCCAAATTTCTGCAATGCAAACAAACAGCGCATGTTACCGCTGACAGTCCTGTATTTACAAATTCTCTGTAGAACTGCAGACCTCCTAGAGCATCCTACCTAAAACCCAGAGCATAACAAGTGATAAAACACCTACACGTAAAACTCCTAAATAACAAAACACCAGCTAAAAACACTCGAGACCTTGATCTTACACCTGGAATCTGCTCAAACCAATCACTTTACTTGCGTGGAGCTCAACGGACATTTTACAATCTGCCTTCCTGTGAACCTTCTTTCAGACACAGGCTGATCTCAATCCTTCACCCCGGTGTCACAAACGTTATTGCTCATCTCTTGTGGCTTTTCTTTATTCAACAAAAAAGCCAAAGTGCTGTCAGCTACGATTTAGGATTCAAATCAAACACCTCCAGACTTTTCAAGGTGTAGAAAACACGCAACATCACTTCATCCCACTGAAACCAGCTCCTACAAGGCCTACGGCTGTAAGCTCACACCCAAATATTCAAGTCAAGGTACATTTTAAAGGGTTTTCTTAGCATGTGTTTTGCTGATTCCTAAAAACAGTTCTAGAAAAATCATTCTTTTAATCCCCTTTATCAGTTCTGTATTCACCTGAAACACTGCATCTCTTTCTTTGGCCACGTCATTTCAATTACGAGCGTAACGCCTTGTTTTTATTGTACTTATTTACATTAGACAGAAGAATACTTGAACATACGTGTGAAAGAAGAGTCGTCTTAGAACACATTTGAAAAAAGAGAGTAAAGCATCTGCGACTTTGGGTGCCTGGATTCAGTTGAGATAACCTCTGCAGCACACAGCTCCGCATTTACAGACAGTTCTGATCCTCTTTCTGGATGGGCTAAGGCCGTCCGCCGAGTCTGAAGTCAGATCTATGGAACCTGTGGCAGACAAACACAAACAAGGAAGGTTTAAAAAAGACAGACTGAAACTCTGCAGGAGTTCAAACGGCTTCGAAAAGCCTTCTAACACCCAGTTCCTTAAAGAATCACACGTGAAGCTCTGCTCTACCGACACTCATGTTCCAGCTACTTCCACCACACCTGGCACACACCTCAGAACCCAAAGCTCAGCAAACTCAAGCCTTGTACCCTCAGGTCTGTATCCGTAATGGCCAGCTGAGACTGCAGCCTGCCTGGAACGTCAGTGGCACAGACACCGCAAAAAAGAGGAGTTTTAAGGGTTTGAAGAAGATTAATTTGTCAGCACTCGAAGAGAACCTCTACAAGAACAAGGTACAGCTCTGTTGTATAAAGATGCTTCTCTGAAAACTACATAGCGGGGCCAACAATACATCCCGCTGTGGGTAAAGGGTTTGCACTCACAATTTGACACACACAACGTCCCTGCCAGCAAACCTCAAGATTGTACTGGAAAAAAATGAAGTCATAGAATGGTTTGGATTGGAAGGGACCTTTAAAGACCATTTTGTCCAACCCCCTACCATGGGCAGGGACATCTTTCACTAGCTCAGGTTGCTCAAAGCCCCATCCAACCTGACCTCAAACACTGAATGGAAGATCAATTATCAAACAATCAGCCAACAGCCCAAGTTGGAAGAGACCTCAAAGGATCATCTGGTACAACCTGTTGTGGGAAAGGGAGCCTAGATGAGATTACCTAGCACCCTGTCCAACTGCATCTCAAAAACCTCCAGCGTTGGGGACTCCACCACGTCCCTGGAGAGGTTGTTCCAGTGAGGGATGGTTCTCACTGTAAAAGACTTTGAACCATCCTTCTTCCGTCCTAAACATCTGTTTAGGACCTACCTCCACAACTGAGGCCTACGGACACCAGAATGCAAAGACAAACCTATGGCATCTCAGTCCACTCAGCTGTTACAACTGTCTTTATCACTAGCAGATTACTCCAAGTAGTTTACCTGGAACACCATGTAAATGCCTTTTTTTAACAGTAGCCTGACCATTCTTTTGAGCATTCTTGTGACAAATCTTCAAAATAATTTGCCTTGCCAGGTGTCCCAAGCACAACCCCTTGCTGTGAGCTACGAGCACTGGAGGAGGGGACGCACCAGAGGTGCTCACAAAAGCTCCTGGGTGTGCTCTGTGTGCGCTGCACCGAGGATGTCTGTTCTGGAACCCACAGAGCTGGGTGAGGGAGACCAGGACCTGACCCGAAACGCTAACGTCAGTCAGGCTGCAGCAGAACCCGCCAGCGCCCCAAACCTCCTGCAAGAACAGTGTTAAAATCTGCAGACCTTTCATCTGATAGTCAAAGGTTAGCTCTTCTCCAGCCTTGATGGTTCGCGTGGAAAACAGCGCTATTCGAGGAAGACGCAAGTCGAGGTTGTCGATAAACACGTTGAAGACTTGAAGATTTGGATCACACTGAAAGGCAAAAAAAAATCAACGTAGCTTCTGTTCAGAAAACTGCCCAGTAATTTTCACTGAAGTGTTTAAGTAAACCAAGGTCACAGGAAAGGAAGAACTGGTTCTTCTCTCGGTGACACAAGTGTGAAATTGGTTTCCGACAACAACAGAAGATAACAAATTACATTCTTGAAATAGCATTAAAGGAGAATATTCACAGCTCAGAGCCGCGTCCTTTCAAGAAGGCAACCTTTACACAGCACACAGACTACACTTACATGCAACAGCCTATTAAAAACCAAACGGTACCTTCAAAAGATGACAACAAAAAGCAATTAAAGCTAAATTCTGAGGTTACTATTTACCTACAAAACCCACAAAAAGAATTAAAGTTGAAAGAAAAGAAGAAACAACCCAGCGTTTCAAGCCACACACACTCACTACTCTGTACTTAAGCGCTGCTTCCAGCCCAGGAATAATATTTTCACACTATCAATAGATTACTATTTTCAGCTGCTACCCTGCTCGGCTTCTGAATGATCTGCTATGGACTGGGTAGCAGAGGGAAAGTCAAGGACACCAAGCAGGAACTAGAAACCACTTTATTTTTTTTTCCTGGATTAAGCGTCAGAAGTCAGGAGTCACTGAGATAGTCTGTAAAACTCTGCAGGCTTTTTTGTTCTTTAACACCTCTTCTTCATCCTTCTCCCTGGCAAGCCCGCATGAGACAGAAAAATCATCGGCTCCCAAGTCTGAAGACACGTATTTACTGTACTTCAGTTGAACAGGAAAGAAAACACTGTTGAAAGATTTCCTGTTGAAAATTTACTTTCAAGTTCTCTGGCAAGTTTAGATTTGATACAAGTGGGGAAAAAGGCATCTACAGGGGAAAGCATAGGAATTTTCATTTTTTCGTCTACCAGTGTTTGAAGGATGAAATTCAGCATAACCCCCCATCCTGCTCTGCTACAAAATAATGCATCAATTCCTATTGTCTTTGACTCGTGACTAATTTTATTAAGTACTTCTCATGTCTTAGCTCTTTTAGTTACTTGGAAAAAGACACACCCAAATCAAAGTCAGTACTACCAGATGCCCACTTCAGGAGCATCTCACGCCCAGGTTTTTGTAGGCAGTCCTACTCCGAGTAAGGCTAAGTATTCCATTCTATTTAGTATGTCATCTGACTGGACTGTGCTGGCATAAAACAAACTAGTCCAGAAAAACTGTGCACATGGCAAGAAAGTATTTACAGTCGAAGATATTTCTGGCACAATTAGGGTAACTCTCCAAATTCTTAGCATATAAAACAAGGTCTTACACTGTGATTCACAAAGTGGGATACGTTTCCATATCGAGCTGCATCTACCGTAAATTCATCTGAGTCATAGTCCAAATCAAACAAGTATGTATTTCCCTGGTTGTCATAGAGCTGGCCTCGTCTCTCTGCTTCCTCACTTGTGATCACCTAAAAAAAAGGAGAAAAAAAGAAACCTGCATCATATTATTAACTCTTACAAAATTAAAACAAAAATCACAATCAAGTTCAAAAACCTACTTTACCTAGTGAAAAATACCACGTTCTCTTTTTGATGTTGAAACAGCATTCCATCTCTAATGAATAAAGAACAGGTACATCCAGCTAAATCAATTAAGTTAGTGACTGAGGCAATTTGTCTACAGCTGATGCACAGCACTACCTCGTCTCAGGGCAAAAACCAAATCATCAGCATCTTCTATTATGGCTTTTGAAGATGACAGATACAATCGTTTCTACTTGAAGTTTCTACACACATAGTTTTTTCATTAGACCCAGAAAGCCTTGTTTACATCATGTAAGATAAATTTTCAACTTTCTCCCTTCACTCAGCCAAAGATCAACAGGTAGCAGTCTCTAAATCCCAGTCACTTTTACAGTCCAGTATTCATCTCCTCCCTCCCTAGAAGCATCTCTTCACGCTATTTTGGACTGCAATGAAAGATCCCACTCATTGCACTTAGTACAACACTTCACAAAGCTGAATCTATGGAATTAGGCTAGCATGTACTAGCACGAGGCAGAAATCCAGAAACTCCTCAAAGGAAGAAAACTACAGTCACTTTTGACAGAAGCAACAGCTTAAACGACTTCACCTGCAGCCTGTTACATGTAATGTATTCTGCTGTGCTAACTCAGTGACGACAATTTGGCAGCAAGACAGATACAAAATGTCGTGGAATTGGACACAAAACACTCGAAAATCTTTCTGACATCAGATTTGAGAACTTATTTAGCAGTAGGGAATAAGTGGAGACATTCTTTCCTTTAAGCAACAAAATGACATAATCATCTTTCTGCATTAACCCCTCAACAGAGACATTCTGAATGACCGATGTGCTGTATGTTTACAAGAAAGGTATGAACATGAGAAGATTTGGGGCAGGAAGGATGGAGGAAATACAATAAAGACCATAAACATTCATATTAAGGGACAGAAGGAATTTGAGTCAACTTAGCAGCAAGGCAGATTTGTGGCAGAAATAGAACAGACTGGATCAGAGAGGCTGCCAGGAGCTACTGATGCAAAGAGCTGTGAAGCAGAGCAGAGGCTGAACCAAATAAACTCAGGGCAATACAAAATCTCAAGAGTAACTCAAGGTGTGTATTTTATAACACGAAAGTTTTGTTTGAAACAGTACGAGATCAAGTAAACAGATAATGACTATACCTCAAGTCTCATTCTTGACATTAATCAAAAGTAATAAATGTGTTTGGAAATACTTAAAAGTTCAGACAAAACAGAAAAGAGACTGACAGACTGGGTGGGGAGTTTGGTAATAACTGTGCCTGAAAGGAACAGCAAAAACTACAATAACAAAGATGATCAGGGAAGAACGAGGAATATAACTGCAACAAAAGTGAAGGACTTGCCTTTAGAAATTCTATTAGGTCACACACCTAAAATAATTCTTTAGTGACACAAAGATAAGTATACTCTTTACATTCAACCTTCTACAACTGCTCTGGAACAGAGGATGTTCTGGACAACATAATTTTTCTATCATCTAGAATGTCTGTGTATTGTATTCCTCTACTCAAAAGTAGACTTATCTGTTATTACACTGCAAAAGTCAAGATGTGTCAACACTGAGAGAGAGCTCACTGGGATTTTCTCCAACATTTCCTTTGTTGTAAATAATTCATCTGTGTGAGATAAATACGTACCTCTCCAACGTACTCCATCACAAAACTGTTGGTTTTAATTTTCTGGAGGGTTTTTACTCCCCAGCCACGGCCATTGTTAGTTCTGAAGATGCAAAGAGAATAGGGGGTACCTTTCTGTACTATCCTATTAGGGCAGTCAGGCCCACACCTACAAAAGGAATTGCATTCATAGATGGGCAAGCCAGGCTGGATTTTCAACTTCTTTCGTTTATTGTAAGCCAAAATAAATCCAGCCTCCTTTGGACAGCACTTCTCAGCAGGGCAGTCAGCACATTCACAGCCAGTCGTTATTCCATTTATTACGTTTATTCCCGGAGCAGGTTTATACTCATTAATGTAGTAGAAGTCTAAAGGAGGGCCTTCAAGATCCACAGTGTTTTCTACCAGAATCATTGCTTTATGATTCTTTTTCCTGTTGAGTTCTTCCTTCCACCTCTGCAGAGCTATTCTTTGCTTAGCCTTCTTCACAATGTAATCTGCGACCGCAGGTTTCAAAGCTTTAACATGGTTCCTCACTTTCAGTGCTTTGCCTTCTCTCACCCGAGACAAGTATTCATTCTTGTCACTAAGAAAGTTTTGAATAAGTACTGGGCATTTCAGATTTTTCTGAGGCTCCCAAGTATTTGAAGATTCTGGCCATCCTTTCCATTTCACAAGATAGTATTCTGTGCCCTTGAAATACAGAAACAGATACAGATTTAGCCACATTTCGTTTTGCTGAAATCCATCATCACAGAGTACACAAACACGAAAGAGCTCTGGAGTTAAGAAACGGCATATAGAGCAGAAGGTCTTGATGTCCCCGTAACAATTACAATTGGGGAGAAAGAGAAAAATCGAGTTTTCTGTTTGCAAATTAACTTATAGCACAAGTTTGGATACTTTACATATCATCTCTAGGGGCAAAGAAATAAACAGCTGGGATGAACTCTGATCACTAATGTTATACCTGGAGGAGGCTAGTTCGTTAAGGCTGTTAAGTAAGTTATACTAACTAGTTGCATGACTGGTATGCAGAAGCAGAACGTACGCATATTGCATACAAACCAAAAAAGGTAATTCTAAACTTGCCGAAAAAAATCTCTAAAAAACACTATTTGTCATATCAACCATCCTCCCCAAAAAGTAATCCATTCAAAACACTTAATATTGTATTTATAATCAAGAAGCATATATTTTGCGCTTATTTTAAAAAGGCAAAATAACTGCCACAAGGCCGAATCCTGAGACTGAATTTCCCTGGCACAATCGGGCCGTAGGAATCCAGCCGCAGCACGCGGCCCTAACTCTTCATCAAACAGACTACAGCAGCCAAGAGGCTGTTACCTGCAAATAAAGGAGAGGCATCGTAACACATCCCGAGCTACAGCCTAGAACATCAGCATTTTGCTTTACTTCTAGATATGCAGAGACGAAACATTTCGATTTCTATCATCTCTGTAATTTCAGGAAGAGACATTCCTTCAGCACACCAACAGCAGCAGTTACGCCGCTTTCTGTTTACAGTTCAAAGTTTAAAAGGTATTTCATTCGACATCAGCAAAAGCGTTGCCCTCACAGCCTGCTACTTTATATTGTGAGCAAAACTACCTTTGGCTCGCCTCCAAACTTAGCTGAAAGAGTGATCAAATTGGTCTGTGTTTCTCTTACCTCTTCTACCTTGTAGTCACACAAATATTCCACCTCATAACTCTTTAGACTCCTGTTGGTGATTCCAATGGATTTACATCTGAGATTTTCCTTCCTACATAATTCTTGGAGGGTTTCAAGTGAAGCTAGACATGGCACATACCAAGCTACAATAAGAAAATTGGTAGAGAATCCTATTTAATGTCTCAGCTAAATTGAAATCATTACGCCTTATCCCAGAGTCCCCACATTATCATTTGTGACGGCAGTCCACGAGTCTGTTGGACAACTACAGTGTCTCACAGAGTCGGACTCAACCCTTCTCTAGTGGGTAAAGTGAAACACATCAATAATTCCCTCTCTGCACCTTTATAAACGACAACAAACATTCCGGAGGGCAGAGACTTCCACAGGCGAAAGCTGCGCTAAGAACTGAATCATTTTCCTACAATTACAGCGTCCCGTAACTGAACTACGGCGACCAGGAAAGCTCCGTTCTTTAATAAAACCGCCAAAGAGCTGTAGTTACTCAAGTGGAACCGAGCACTTGCGATGCAACCATGGTGACTGGACGAGGAAAGAAAGATCCACAGCGCTCTTCCAGAAGGATCGCGGGTGCCTTGTCAGCCAGGCGGCTTTAAAGGGACGCGACACTCCGCAGAGCGGCACGGCAGGAGCGGCAGCTCCCCGCCAGAGCCCGGGGAACGCCGCCGGGGTGGGGAAGGGG